CATCTGCGTGAACTCCTCCACACTCGACAAGTCCACACGTTGGAGCAATTACGTGAGTTCGCTCAGCGAATTGCACCACATTCGTTCATTGTTGCCACACCCCGTCCGGAAAGAACCCGTTCGGATAGACAGCGATCAGCGGCACGGGAAATTTCGGCAATACATGATTCTCCGGATGAGTCTTCACATTCGGAATATACCGCTTCGTTTCCTGGATCCGACTCTGATGACAAGGAATGTGCATACGTGAACAAGCAAAATAAACCAATTAAAGCATCTCAGAAACGTAGGTATTCGAAACCAGTCGAGGATTGTAAAAATGGCGAAAATCCAAAGGGGAACGATACGAAAGTAGGAACTATCGTCGACCCATTTCTCGCTGTTGGGGGCGACGAAAATGTACGATTTGCAAAATGTCTCATGTGGGGCCATCACTTCAAAAAGTGTCGAACCCAACCGAATAGGGTGATCTGCTACAAATGTACACGACCGGGGGTTACGTCTGATCAATGCCTGTGTTCAAAAAACGCGTAAGGGAGTCGATTGGGAATAGTGGTCCATGGTACTCAGGATCCACAACTTTATCTAAATCCACTGTCTCTAACAATCCGCACTCTACCGAAGTCGCTCTACAAATCGACAAATCTTCAGTCCCGAATTCCAGTAATAGTTCTACTCTGATTCTTAACGAGTATAATCAAACTCAAGGGCATGGCAAAGAACCATCAACCCAATGTTCTGAACGAACACCACCATTTACCAAACCTACTTCAGCTCCAATCCCTAATCACAATCAAGACGGAGACAACAAAATTAACCCACCACGACTCCGCGATGTTTTCTTTATCTGAGAAAAATGCTTGACATATAATATGCCGAACGATCGTCGCGATTATCTCACGGTTATGGTTAACAACCATTCTCATACGGTTTTACTCGAAGGTGGAGCTGAAGTCACAGTCATTTCACAAACATTTTATGAGAAGTACAGATGGGGGCAGTTGCAACCTACCAAAACCTCCATTGGTCTTGCCGATAATTCGATTTCATTTAAGGCCATTGGTAAAGTGGATGTATTATATAAGGTCGTACCTATCTCACTGAAACACCCAATTATGGGACGGACAATCCTTGAGGCCTTCTTTTTCGAACTGGTGCAGAACCAAGAGAAAGTTCAAGGATTTTTAAAACATACAGCCAAAGGTGATACTGAGGAAGTTGCATCTGCTGAAGTCGAAATGGTTACGGCGGATAAATTTATTAATTTTCGTAACTCGCTACCAGGGAGTGGGAAAGAACAAGCTCAGGTATCTTCTATGAGTAATGATCTGGAGCCAATTGACGCTTCCACACTCGGTTTAGAGGGTGAACTAGATACCCAAAAAATAACGAGCGTCAGCCTTCCACATAATCTCACCCCAGATCAAAGACAAATGTTGGACGCCGTTCTCAGACTTTTTAATCCAACTCCTGTGTCTGGCCCTTTAAACGTCACTAATCAGATCGAACACGTAATTGATACGGGTGATGCAAAACCCGTCATGAAACGCCAGTATCCAGTATCGCCATACGTGGCTGAACAAGTTCAAGCCGAATTGGATAAAATGCGTAGTCGTGACATCATTATGACCATCGAAGAAA